TCCATCTTCTTCTGTTGCCCCATCAGCATCATCATCGGCTGCTGCAAACCCATCTTCCTCTGTTGCTCCATCAGCATCATCATCGGCTGCTTCAACTCCATCTTCCTCWGTTGCCCCATCAGCATCATCATCGGCTACTGCAACACCATCTTCCTCTGTTGCCCCATCAACATCAACATCGGTGCAACCAACAACAGAGACACCAACAGAACCCGAGGTTTCTGCAACAATGGGTGAGTCATTAATTATATAATATTGAAAAAAAAATTGGATGTCAACAAGGAATCCTGATATATTAGATTCAAAGCAAAACAATCCGCTTTTCCTTCATTTTCCTTCTTCCCTTCCTCCTTTCTTCCTCCTGTCTTATTTCATTAAAGTTTCTAGTTACGTTAGTTAGTTTGCCATTATGCAAACAGCCGATAAAGAAGAATTGCAGAGCAATTTGAACTGCCTGAAAATAACATTGTTATATAACCTGCGTATCATTTCTTGCAGTAAAAATCCGGGTTGAAACTAGGATAATTCACATTATGAATGTCGTCGTTGTGTTCGATGACGTAAAAGACGAAAAATCAGAAAGGGGCAAAAAATTCAGAAAGAACTTTAAAAATTGGGTGAGTAGATTGACTTGGCTAAGTTATGCAGATTATCATCATCACAATCATTCTCGACAACAAGGTATAACCAACAATCATATTCACCATCACCTTTCATCATCATCATCACCATYGTCATATAATCACTGCCATTATTGAAATCCCATTCTTACCACCTGAGAGCCACTTGCCACCTAATTGTAATTTGAAATGAACGAAAAACATTCCTAAATGTGATTTAATATGGCCGTTTTTTTTGCAGTGTCTGCAACGGCTGAGGAGAAGGAAACGCAGAGGAAGATCTCGGGCGTGGGGGCTGCGTATTCATCGATTGCGGTGAGTTAGCAACATAGTCTGTTGAACTGGCAATAGACGTAATCTAGTCATTGTTGGGCCCAAAAACACTGAACGTAGAAGCTGAGACCGATACGTTACATAGGAAATGCGTTAATTGAATGTATCTAGTGACAACCCTCGGGGAAAATTCATTAAGTGTTGCTCTGACAAGTTCAAGTTCTTTGTTTACACACATATAAGTATTATAGGAGATAACAATACAGGTCAATGAGTTTGTATTTACAAAAAAATAATGAGTAGATAGAGTAGGTGCATGCTACGTCATTGCCCGCGCCATTTTGGTTGACGATAATAAAGCATTCCTCATTAGCTTCTCTTGTAAGATCAACCAAGATGGCGGCTGTTTCATTGTTATTCATATCTCAAGGGATTTTGAGTCACATGGTTGCACACACCCTATAAATATATGTGCAGCGACGGTTTGAATAAACTTTCGAGTAATAAACTACCACTAACAGAGATCGAGCATGGAGGCTTTTAACACGCTTCATATCGACTGTGTATCTCAAACCATTATAGAACCTTTGGAATACATTTGAGGATGCGTCTTGGTCCCAGCTTCTTTTGTTTTTTTTTTTGAGCCCAACAATAAATTTAAAATTGAGTGAATATAACGAGTATTTGATCAGCATCGTTCATGTATAAAATTGTTTTCCACAACTGTTAATTCTTCATGCAGAAAAGGAAGCGTGATCGTGGAGTACGATCTCTTTGTCAACGCAACCTCCCAACAAGAAACACAGGATTTCATTGATGGCCTCCAGCAGGAAATTGACTCTGGAACGATTGGAAACTACACAGTCGACCCCAACCATCCACTTGGTGCCAAGATCACAATGCAAGGTATGTAAGACARTGGACACCAAAATTTCTTCCCATATATTTAAGGTAAAACGAATTCCTTTCCCGCGGACAATTTTTTATGAAGTGGACAACTGGCATGCAAGGTCCCGAAGGTGTCGCTTATTACTTAGTATGACTGTAATCTTACAAGTCCCAGGGTCAGGCAGTTTTAACATTTGTGACATGNNNGAGAGAGAGAGAGAGAGAGAGAGAAAGAGAGAAAGAAAAAGTGATCATTGAGAAGTCCAAAAAAATATCATTGACAACTTGAAACTGCAGCTGGAGGGAGGGAGGGAGAAAGGGAGGGAAAAAGCAATGAGACAAAACAGTTGGATCAGAAAGAAAGAAAGGAAGGAAGGATAGACGTTTAATGCTATTGCTTCCCTCAGCTCAATAAGGTTTTTCCGTTGCCCATTAGGAAAAGGGCCATTGAAAGAATACTACAAGTCTATCATAGCAACAAAGAACTTTAAGTTTGTCAGCATATGTACTCCCTGGCTTGAACCAGACGACTATCCTAGACTACTTGGTATGTATGCTCGAGGTTGATTTGTTAATGAACCGAGATACTGTATTAGCAAAGCAATTCCCGATTTTTCCATCGTAATTTGGACCTTTTTTGAGTGAAAAATCATCAAAAGTTGAAAAAATGTAAAAATATCTAAAATGTACCCACAAACCAGATTCAATTACTCTAATTGCTAAAAAAACACACACGTAAAACTACATACCAAACATTTTCTGCTTTTTTGCACGTTGCAAACTTTCAGTTAATCCTTACTGTTGATTTAGATTATCTACAGTAGAAGCCTTTTTCGGTTTTATCTTTTCTTTTATGGTGGCTGTCGACACGAAAGTTTTAACTATTTCGACAGCCACACACACCTAACGATTCAATTATTTTTTAACATATCCTAGTTATCACATTTATTGTACATTTAAACTTTATTTCAATTTAGTGTATTATTTTTTTCGCAAGTATTTTTTTGTGTGTGAATAATAAAAAAAGTCTAAAGTCTTTTTTTATTTTATATTCTAGGCTCGGCAGATGTTGGTGTTTGTCTTCACAAATCATCATCAGGACTCGATTTACCAATGAAGGTTTGTTAACGATTTGACTAAACAAAAAAATATACAAGCAAATCGTCTAGAGCATTGATATTTTTTAGAAGGGGGGGGGGGGGGGAAGGGGGAAAACTTAAAGTAACACCAGCCAACATGGCTTCATGACACGACATCCTCGCCTCTTACAAATGCCTCATGTATATAATTTCAGTGAGCTACAGATTATAATGTTTTTCCTTTTGTTTCTTTAACAGGTAAAGTCCACTCCGTCAAAAGTACTCTAGCAACGTCATAGGAAAGCCAATATCAGCCAATAATCACACATATTTTAAAATTCAGATATTTAGGTTAGGTGGTGCTCAGCTTCTCAAAAGACTTCTTTACAAAAAAATAAGAGTCTTAAATTCCTATATTAAAGGTGTCTAGCTGTTTTTCTCTTTCCTGTAGTTTTCAACCTTCTGGGCTACCTGAGTATTTACAAAACTGACCGAGAGTGACCTGGACCGAAAATCTTTTTAATCAAACAAAAACAATAAAACAAACAAACAAACAAACAAAACAAACAAAACAAACAAACAAAGAACGAAAGCGAAAAATAGCTGGATGCTGACATATTAAAGTGTCTTTTATCAGCTTTTCAAAAGATGACTCTTCCACTACTCGTTTTCTATATWTCACAAGTCCTTGACATGGGCTTCCTTTGTGCTATTGTGCTTCTTTATAGGTATCAATAGGCCGTTTTCATGATGGCGTCATTTTACTACCACTACCACCAAAGTGCTTCGTGAATTTTCTTTCTTATTCAAATACATATTCCCTCAAGAGAATAGTAAAACAATTGCTGCTATGATTAACTGAACAAAAAAAGTGTACAAGGGATTGTGGTAGTGGAAGTAAATGACGCCATAATGCAAGTGTACTATTCATTATACATTATACACTAACTAAATCTTTGTCAAATATGAAGTAATTATTAACTGCAAAAGTACTTGGAGCTGGCTCTGACGATATTTTGCATCAACTTTTATAAGTTGTTTAATTATTTATTATCAATTTTGAATGTACAAAATGCACAGGAAGCCAATAAATAGAACACATACTTTTAACGTTTTCACTGAGTTTGTATGAATTCTCTCTAGTTTTTCCTAAAGAATAATCATTTATGAAATATTTCAAAACAGGGGATGTTGATGTTTACTGTCTTTATGTAGCAATAGCATTAATAGCCAGAATTTTCTGGGCACAAAACTGGTGGCTAAGAGACCAATAGTCCTAAAAGGTTGAAGCAATAAYATTATATTCGAAACCAATTTTCTATAACATTGCAAAAGATTGGTATAATTGTTTTGAAATATTTTGAGACAAAACTCTCAATCAACCAAAATGTATGAGTAATATATTATTTGTCCTCGAGCAAGGAGTAATCGTCGTTAATTGCATCCACTGAGGCGACACCCTTATCACTCGTGCATGGCTTTCTGTCTAAAGGATAAAACTCAAATCCATTTTCGAGCTCTCTAGAACGTCTTTCAACTTTTGTTTCAGTTTATTTGTTCACAAAATAAGTTAGAAATATTTCAACTTAATTGCAAATACATAGTAAACTTAAATGAAGGTTTATTTAACGGGATATGTAATACCTAATTTTACCGTTTAGGACTTAAACATTTGTCAAATCCCTCGGGATGAAAGCATAAAATTAGTAAGTCAAGTGATATGATTATAAATCACGTGCTGTTCATGTGATGCACCAAATAAGAAAAACAAGCAAACAAATAAGGCCCTGTGAAACTTAGCTTTCGTCGCGAGAAATTTTCACGAAAAGTAGCGTCTCCCTTGGTGTTGCAAAATGTACTATTTTCTGTGTTAGGGTTTTTGTATTGCAGGGTATTGTTTAGCTCCAAACTCATTATTCTCGGCTATTGTTTTATTGTCTTCATGGCTCAGGTGCCCTACAACACCAAGAAAAAGCCGAAAAGTAGATCTGCTTTCTACTCGTAAAGTTTCAACGTTGAGCAGAGCCTTTATACAACGAAAATAAGCTTAATTTTCACTACAACATGTGTGTACCGAGGGACGCGTCCAATATAACTATGGATTATATACCTCGAGTTTGTCATTGTCACTTATAGCGTCATTGTTCACAGCCAGTTGAGTTCTCTATGTAGCTAGCTCCTCCTTTTCCAAGTCCTTGAGGTTAGCACTTGAGTAAACTTGATATAGTCATGTCTACAAATAGATAAAACAATTCCTGAATATGAATCTTAGTTATTTCGTTTTTGCTTGAAGATAAACTTAGGGCACAGTAAATAGAGGGAACTGGAGTGCACACCATATATCCGCGAAAAACTTCGTAAGAAATTGCACAAATTTGCACAAATTAGTAAGTTCAGTAGACCTCAGGCCCCGTCCACACTATGCCGGATAAATTTGAATCCGAATTTTTATTTATTCGGTTAGGCCTACCGTTCACACTAGTCCGGACGAATCCGGAACAATTCTTCACCGAAAACGAATTTTCGAAATGGAACCGAATAAATAAAAATTCGGATTCAAATTTATCCGGCTTAGTGTGGATGGGGTCTGTCAGTAGACCGTAGATTTTCATACCTTGCATTAATTTGTACAATATTGTTAGTTAACTTTTTAACGGAAGTATGGTGTGCACTCTATAATCATAATAAATTTGAATCCTTGGCAGACACGGGATGTGTTAAAGTCACGTGCTCTATTTATAGACAATAACTGACCTCCCATTGGCTGCTGATAGCAAGCTAATTTCCAAACACTCAGATTTGACGTTAATATGAATGATAGCTGTCAAGAATGTAGAGAAGAAGCTAGACTAGGGCGTAATCACTCCTCAATTCCCTTTCCATTTACGATTTGGTGTTCAAGCCAAGACCTATATTTTGAAAGCACTCCTCTCTGCACTCTAAAGGAAGATTTAAGACAAGATGAAGAGCGCTTTGGTTTTTATCTGCGTTTTGCTTTTTGTAAGCTACGTCGCTGGTAGGTTTTTCAAAGCTTGTTTTTAAGTTGAGGTTATAGTTACTTTAATGTTTATAAAGTAGTGCTAGTTCTATAAGGTGTAATGATAGCCTTGCTGTGTATTTTTTACTGATTTATGCGAAATATAGATGATTGGGCATTTATTTATATTTTTTTGCTTGGGTAAAGCATTTAAAAAATCCAGATTTATAGACAAAAGTGTTGGCATTGAAGTTCGAAGGAGGCCAGAATCGGCCATGCATCAACTGCGACTATAGTCTTTGAAAAACTCAGACTAAAATTTCGAAAGACTTTTCAAAGCCTTGAAAGACAAGTTTTGAATAAATGAGTATGAAAATTTACGAAACAAGGTCAAAATAAGAGTGGTTGATTCGATATAGCTAGATACAAGTAAAAGGAAGACCAGACTAGCTCGAAGACAAAGGATAGAAAGCGCGCGCTGAAATAACTGCTAATATACAACATCAGATCAAGAATCTTGATACTAAAATAGTAAATCTCAGAATCAAGAAAAAATAGCACTATAATCGACAAAACTGCAAGTTGAGGCTGATGAAACATAAACATATTTTATCGATCTATCTATTTTTATTTATTTTATTTATAAATTAAAATCGGAAATTGAGACAAAAACGCAGTCTATTGTTGTAATCTAGTCTGCGAAATATATTTATCGGAAAAGCCTTTTAGGTGCAAGGATTAATAACTATTTAGATTGCTACAACTATAAAGCTTTAAATAAAATGGCTATCAATTTGACAACGAAATCAGAAAACCAATGGCACAAGAGCCAACTTTTTTTATCATTGAATACTAATTCAGCATCGTCTGGATGTTAATGTAAAGAACTCGCTCGAGAACGCCGTGTTTTTTCCTTTTGATAAATACTGTGAGTAACTTAATAACAGGTAAAATAAAGCTTTAACTTACAGCCACGTTCTGGTCAATCTTTTTTGCTAGAATAACGGATAAAATACGTAAATAAATATAAGTTTATGCAATGACTACACCATTGTCTGGTTGCCTGTGAAGCGAGCCGTTCACACCCAAAGTTCCGCATGTACGTGTACCTGTCGATTCAAAACCTGTAGACTTGCCTTCGCCTGCATGACGCAATCAAGTCGTCCTTGAAAATCGTTAAATTGGCTTTATTTTGAAGAAGAGCGGATGTCATTAAGAACTAAAATCCATGATTTGGATTCTAGTACATCTAGCAAAATTGTTTTCAGACTGATAGCCCTCTTCATGCATGTATTTATACCATATAAGTAATAGATCAAAAACGAGAGCGAGTGTTTGATCACGGCATCCAAACACTGAGAAACCGAGATGAAGGGCACGAGGCCGTTAGGCCAAGTGCTTTTTATTGTTTCGAGATGTTTGGATGCCCTGATCAAACACGAAGCATGAGTTTTTGAACTTATTTCTCAGTCTCATCGTAATTCATTTGCTCTTGAATCTACTGAGACTGAAAAAGTGATCAGATCAGTGTTTTGATCCGTCCTTGATCAAGTATCAAGGTGCTTGCACCTGACTACAATGCAAAGTCGCCATTGGTCATTGACCKCATGAATTATTAATGAGTTTGAGAACGTCTAGTCAATGATGGCGACTCATGAAAGTGCAAACWATATAACCGTGAAACTTTAGAATTACTAAATAGCACAATTTCATGCAAAATTCCATTGTTTTCTATTGTTTAATTAGCACTATTTTGTACTATTTAGTAATTAGTGTTTGCACTCTAGGCTGATATATGTATATATATCATCAATGCAAAGATCCTCAGATTTTCCAGAAACAACTTTTCCTTATAGTTTATTATACTCTACTTCGTTTTCAAYGTTTCCCCAACAATATATTCACCGGATGTCATTAGTCTGGTTGTGTTAGCAGAAGAGTGGCCAAAGTTTCTGTTGGTTATTTTCACATTAAAAAATGCTTATTTTGGCGTCAAAACTCCTCCTTAGTTTTGCTTTCTTCGAACACCACATGGTTTTTCCAGGAAGAAAATAATTGGTCTTTAAATTCTGTTAAGGTTGCGTGATAATCATACTCATTTGTACACCTAATTCCAAGGACGTTGTCATCGCCGAAGGCAATAGGAGACAGGTCATTCCTAGAATAGCTGGAATGACTTGTGTTTCTGCTTCTTATTCTCGTCAAGAACATGGAC